GGATGAGGACCAGAGGGCCTGCTCACCAGTGCAGCGGGAGCGGCAGGGAAGGAGGGCAGAGAGCTGCTCACCAGTCGGGCGGTAGCCGGGAGCGGGCAGACGGATGGCTGTACGCGGAAGGGTGCTAGATAAGCGCGGGGGTCATAGTCATACGCAGCGGTGCAGTCATAATAAGCGAGGGGTGGCAAGGCGTGGCGAGGCGGACGCCACTGCAGGCCAGGGCGCACCAGAGCACGGCGAGGCACTGCGTCGCCGTTGCACCATTCGCGCACTGCATTGCATTGCACTGCATTGCATTCGCTGAGCGCGCGCCAGGCACCAAGGGGGGGCCCGGGGTCGGGCGGGCCGGGGCCGGGCCGGCCGGGCACCCGCAGAGGGCGTCCTGGCCACAGTGGCGGCGTGGCGCGGCGAAGGCAGGGTGGCTCACGTAATAGTACAACGAGTGCACTGCACAACCCCCCCCCCCTCAAACCCCCCGCCCGTCCGCGCGACGGCCGGCCGGCGGCCGGAGCTGTGCTACAAGCTCGCAGAGAGTAAAGTCCCCACACACACCCACATAACGATACGGCAACTGTCACCTGAGCTAGAGCAGGTACAAAATACGAAAAACGCTTGGACTGTGGGCAAAAAGACAAGTCGAAAAGCGTGTTGTTGGATCTAGTGCATTGTTCGAGCCCCTCCCCCTCCCCCTCCCATTCCCATTCCCGCAAAATGTGATTAGCTATCATGGAATCATCCTTTAGCTTTGACAGCAAATATTTTTGGACAGTCTCCTAAAGACTGTCTCTACCAGAAGAAAAAGCCTATACAGCGCAGAGCGGGCGATCGGCGAGTGTCATTTTCGGGCCCTTTTCGGGGCATTCAAAAAAAGGTTGGGCGTGTTTTGCATGTGGAATAAAGCATTCCGGTAAAACGGCAAAACTGAAATGCAGAAGAATACAGGAAACAAGAAAACGGAAGTCACCATGCTAAAGCATAGCGAATTCCGGTTTCTTCTTCCCCGCATTCTTCTGCATTTCAGCTTTACCGGAATGCTACATTGGGCAAGCTTGGGTACGGGATTAAGATAGATACTAGAAAAATGTGGGATTGCCGCTATTTGGGGATTTGGGAAGGATTGGAAACTAACTGGCAGCCCGAAAAGACACGGAAAAAAAACATTCTCTGCTTCAGTCAAACATTAGCTGAACCAGCGAATATATTGACTGGTATCTGGACAGACAATGTTATTAGCTCTGAGAGACAATACTGTGTCTGACACAGTCGGAGCTTTAATATTGATGGAAACAACTAGTTTCGACTTTGACAGCACACGTGATATTGCCTGCGACATGTTATAATGTTCGCAGTGCTACTGAGTTTTGACATCTCTTCCAGTCCACCTTTTGTCGTTTAGTCTAGCGAAAGAAGATTTCACTATCTCAGTTGAAACCATTCGTATTTCCCGCGAATCTACGTCTCGCTGCACCGCCTGCTGCGACTCGCCAGTACGAACTCGTCGGTCTGGTTCGTGCAGACAGAATGCCGGTTAAAAGAGGTGAAGTCAACATGATTGTTCCAGTGCATAACATAATTTGCCGCAACTATAAATTTAAGTGGCGCGCTCATCATGTCCGCCGAAGAGTTGCCCGCACTTCTGCGCAGCTGGGGCTTGGGTGACGACGCCATCATCCGGTCGTTCAGTGGTAAGTCGATTTGAGGCCCGATGTTGTCATGCTTGTCAAAAGTTAATTTATTTTCCACCAAAACTCAACTAAAAATGTACATAATAAGGTATTTTCGCCACCCTTTTCCTGTTCGGAAGTTATTTATACGTCATTTTCCTTGCCGAACTTGTGATATACGAGTGAACTTCAACTCTTGTCTGTTGCGACTAGGTTAGAGTGTAGGCTTTTAGCCATGTGAAATTACGTTTTTATATCAATGTTCAACGAAACTCATTGGTTTGATAGACAGTCGATTATTTTCTTATTATTCTCGTTCCGATACATGTCTACTTGTCGTTCAGGAAATGTGACTGATCATTATGTTGTCATTGCTTGAAACATTCTCTCTTCACCGTTCATTCAAACCTTGTCGCGTTGCAGGTTATGCTCTCGTAGTGACTTAATTTGAAAGTTTCAAAATGCAGATTACCTCTGCCTTGACATTTATCCCCTCTTTTGCGATGTTCGAGGTTATGTATTTCCGATCAAATTTTGTATTAGCAATCAATTTTTAATTCCTCTGTTTCTGTAACTTTTTCAGATAATGATGTGTCTGTAGACCGTCTCCTCGGGCTGACTGAAGAAGAAATCAAGGAGCTGATTCCGAAGGTTGGTCCTCGCTCAACTTTTAAATCGAAGCTCAAAGAATTCGCCCCAGCTGTAAGTTTATCATTATCTTATTGGACTCTATACCTGAAATACATTATAACAAAATGATATTTTATTTCAGCTTCAAGCCAGAACTCCCTCAACATCAGCTACCTCTACCAGTAATGATGAGCAGATTGAACAAGATCTAGACGATGTTGATGATGGTGAACCAACTGCTAAGAAAGCTCGACAAGACACTGACAGCCTCAGTCCCGATGAATTTCGGGAGAGTTTATTAAAGGCGCCGGAAGTCAATGTGAGTTAAAATTTGGTCTTGGAGTGATTGTTTTGCTTGTATCATTTCTTAGATATTTGTCTCTTTTCCCCAGAACCTCCACACTGTCCTCAAATCCCAGCTGCGTGGGTTAATGGTGTTAGGTCATCACAAAACCCACGAAGTTTTAGACAGCGACTGCAGAGACCACCTCTGCGAGCTTGTCATAAACAACGAGTTGGCTTCAGATCATTCTAAACTGTAAGTAAAGTTAGATTAACGTTAAATATTTGAATATCTTGAATATCTATTAGTAATGACAATATCTGAAGTATGATCTTTATTAAATTTATATCCACAAAACGTTTAGTGGGATAATTTTTAAAATTTGTACTTGGATACTTGAAGACAATTTTAATCTGTTTTGGGGATTACCTCAATTGTCATGTGGAGCTGTGGTTGTTCTTTTAAATTGAATGTCAGAAACCTCTAGATTGTTTTCAGTGTTGTAAATCAGTACTATTCTTGCAACAAACTTTTCAGTCCACAACCCCAAATGGAATACACAGTTGCCTAACACAATGCTTTTATGTTTTTCAGCATTGAGGATGAAGGATTTTTAAAACTTGCTGAAAAAATTAAAAAATTATTTCCCACTGAAGAAATTGTATGTACACTTTGATTTAATCTTTTCAAATGCCATCATACTTCTACCATGCTACTATATATATAATTAAAATGTTACTTATTTCACTTTCTTTGGTTTTGTAGGAGACATGGCATGCTTCATCACGAGATAGCAAAGGCAATCTTGTTGTGACGGGTCGTTTAAGGACCAAGTATGATGCAGTGCGTCGAGGCCTGATTCGTGCAAATTTAATTGAAAGTCGGCGCTCTGCAAAGAAATCTAATAACTCTGTTATTCCTGATGGTAGTACTTTGCACATTACTGAAGTATTTGTTTCTCTCAGTTTTATTCTAATTTCCTTTCATCTGTCCCAGATTCCTTTAACGCTGATGATGATCCCGAGATTTCCTGGTTAATGACTAATGATAGCCCATGGACTGAAGTGCTGACTAAGTGGGATGCCAGTGTTGCTGTGAGAAGACAAATAGTACTTCACCTCAAATACTACTCGGAGTACATTGAGAAGTTTCCTGCTCTGCGAACGCAGTTGGGTTGGGAACTTGTAAGTAATAATTAATATGGCCTGTCTGAACTATTTGTAGAATTAAATGGCTCACTCTAAGCAGTGGGTTTAAGAACTGTGGAATTCACTGCAATCAACTTGAAATTTTCCAAATTGATAAGACACATTTTAAAGCTTTCACAAATCTTTTATTTCTTTAAAAGCTAGTCTAGTCATTTAACTCGAATCAAAGGAAAGCTGCTATTGATTCATTGTTTTGTTTTGTTTAGATCGCACAAGATGGAGTTGCTATCGAAGCCAAGCTTGCTCAGCCTGATTGGCGCAAATGGGTAGATGTTATGATCAAATTGATTCGTAGAGAAAAGGGGAAATCTGAGTTTTTGAAAGAAACAAATCTGTCTGATGGTAAGTACTATGCTATAATAACTTTATTGCGAATTCATTTTGCTCTCACAAGATTAAGTTTCATTTTTACCCCTTTCTGCAGGTCATAAATTTGCTGCAGTTTGGTTGGCACTACCATCTCTTTGGAATGTGAAAACCATTCCTAAGTCTCCAGCTGCAGGTAAAAAAGACACATGCTGGAGGCCTTCTATGTCAGAAATACAGCATGGAGTATGCATTCATGCGACTGTGAGTATTTTACTTTATACTAAGATAGGTGTGAGATTGATTTTAATTTTTAACGAAAGCACATCTTTTAGCATTTTAAGTATTAGCTGCTTTGATAATTTGACAATTTCACAACGGTGCTACTTAGTCCTGTGTTGTGTAGCAAATGAACCTTCTAACTGATTCAATAGCATCTACATGTCTGGTTTTACCTTTAAAATTTTTGCTATCTATGTCCTTTGTGAGAAATCAATTTCAATACCACATTTGATCTATGTTGAGTACAAAGTACTCTGCATTTGCTTACTAATTTCTAACTTTATTTTCAGACTGTACCAGAAATAATTGAGAAGGTGTCTGCTAAGAAGCTTACATTAACAACCTATCATTTTGGTTTGCTTCCTCTCCCTGTTTTGCTTGGGCCTGTTGAAAACATACGGCAATGCTTCATTGTGCTAGATGAGCAGCGGTGGGAAGTTGACAGTGTTTTTGAAGCAGTTTTTGGAGTGTTCCGCATGTCCTTTGGACTTCATTCAAACTACCCACCTGAGGCTCGTCATGCTTGGCTGTTTGTTCAACAAACATTGTTTAATATTCAAACTGCTAATGACTATCAGAAGTACCCAAGATTGAAAGCTACAATTGCTGCTCGTCTTAAGGAATTTTCTCTACTCTCATCATGAAGTGCCCACACTGCGACGTGCTTGTAGTGTCTGTGGATGCATATTTAGCACACAAGAAAATATCTCATCCAACTAAGGACTTCGTGTGTTTACGGTCTTGTGGTAGGCACTATCCTCAGCCTCAATCTTTTAAACAACATTTTTCAAAGACTTGTCCAAAATTGGTGTTCAATGTGGAAACTCCTACTTCAGAGACTCCTAGTTCTAATGAGACTCCTAGTTCTAATGAGACTCCTAGTTCTAATGAGACTCCTAGTTCTAATGAGACTTCTAGTACTGCTATTTGTGAGAATGATTCTTCTGGGCATAGCTCTGTTAACTTTACTGAAAAATTGCAATCTGAAGCAGACACAGTTGTCAGTAGATTGTATTCCAAATCCAAACTGCCTCGCCAGTATGTACAAGAAATAATTGAAGAAGTCAGTGCATTTTTACAAAACACTCTTGTTAATTATAAGAATGCCATTGCAGACAAATTTGCTGATAACAATGAAGTTTTAAATGCACTATCTTCTGAAATATGTCAATTTAAAGATCCATTCTCTCACTTGTCTACAGAATACCGTCGACTGAAATATTTTAAAAACCTTGGAGACTTCATTCCTCCTGTTTCATATCAGATTGGGAAATTGGATTATACTGTTAGTAGTGACAATGGTCCTGTTTTGAAAACTAAAACATGTACTGGTCAAAGTGTGCCAATACATATTGTTTTAAAAAAGTTTCTTGAAGTTCCCAATAATTTTAGTACTATTGTTTCTCATATGAAATCCTTAAAAAATGGTAATGGTGATTTTAAAACCAACTTCATACAGTGTAAACTTTGGGAGAAACGGCGTGCTAACTTTTCCACCTCTGATATAGTACTGCCTCTTCATACTTATTATGATGATTTTCAATGCAACAATTCACTCGGTTCCCATGTTCTCAATTTGGGTGGTGTTTATGTTCAAATCCCCTGCCTCCCAGAGGAGTGTCAGAGTGCTGTTGAGAACATTTTTCTTGCTCTTCTGTTTGAATCAGATTATCGGTCCAAACTTTCTGATGAAAAAGTCTTTGCTCCACTAATTTCTCAATTGATTCATCTAGAAAAAAACGGTATTCTTATTGATCTTCCAGAAGGCGAGGTGAGAGTTTATTTTGTAACAGGTTTACTTCTGGGTGACAATAAGGGTCTTAACTCCATATGTGGTTTCACTGATTGTTTTTCGGCACTCTTTTGCTGCCGCTTTTGTAAGTGTCACAAAAATGATCTGCATTTTCAAACTTCTGAGAACAGTGCCCTCCTAAGAACTGAAGATTCTTACAACATTGATGTAGAAATTAATGATGTTTCTGCCACTGGGGTTCTAAAGAATTCTGTTTTTAACAAGCTACCATCTTTTCATGTATGCTCTAATTTCAGTGTTGATATTTTTCATGATTTGAACGAAGGTTGTTGTTCTTACGTAATGATTCATGTTTTGAAACATTGCATTCCTGAATATTTCAGTCTTGAACTCTTGAATGATAGAATTAAGCTACTTGCATATGGGCCTTGTGATTCAAATCGCATGCCTCAAGTCTCTCTTGGTAAAGCTAAGTTGCGAATGTCCGGATCTGAAATGATGATGTTTGTTCAAATGTTTGGGCTGTTGGTCGGTGACAAAGTTCCAAACTATGACAGACATTGGGGCTTATATTTAAAGCTTCGTAAAATTGTATCTCTTTGTTTATCTAAATCAGTACCTGTGCACCAATCTGTATACTTAAAGGTCCTCATTGAAGAATTCAATACTTTATATGTGGAAGTGACAGATGATAATTTAAAACCAAAATTTCATAATTTGGTTCACTACCCAACTATTTTAAAGGAAAGTGGGCCAGTTTCTCATCTCACTACTAGTCATTTTGAACGTAAGCATCGCACACTTTTGATGCCTGCTCACGCTACTGAGTCACGCAGGAATATAGCTCTAACTGTGTCTATACAGCATCAGCTACAACAGTGTTACCGGTTTCGATCAAAAATGCCTTTGTTGCCTAAAATCAAGTATGGCCATCTGTGTGAGGAATTTCTGTCTGATCTTAAAAATACTAGTTTTGTGGAATCTTTACCTACTAGTATGCAGAGTCTTAAGTCTTTTGTTACCACCAGCTGGGTTAATATTAAAGGCACTAAGTATGCCCCTGGAATGGTGCTCCTGTTGAAAGCAGAGCCTGTATCATTTGGCCTGTGTGAAGCTATACTTGTTCATGATGATGACATCATTTTTATATTTTCTCGTTTGATCACTATTGGTTTTGATGACCATATTGATGCATATGAAATTAATTTCTCCAATGAATGGTCTAGTATTAAGGTGAATGAATTGTATGATTACTTACCATTAAGTATCCACACATCATCTAGTCTTGATAAAAGTTATGTTTTACCTAGATATCAATTGTAATTTATTGTGTATCGTGTGCTGTTTTTTGATATGTTTTTCTATAATATATTTGAATTATAAGTC